ATCTTGTAGTTCAGTAAAAGTAGAAGTACTCAGATCTTGTGCTTGAGTAAAAGTAGAAGTACTCAGATATTGTTCTTGAGTAAAAGTAGAAGTACTCAGATCTCGTTCTTGAGTAAAAGTAGAAGTACTCAGATATTGTTCTTGAGTAAAAGTAGAAGTACTCAGATCTTGTACTTTAGTAAAAGTAGAAGTACTCAGATCTTGTGCTTGAGTAAAAGTAGAAGTACTCAGATCTTGTGCTTGAGTAAAAGTAGAAGTACTCAGATCTTGTGCTTGAGTAAAAGTAGAAGTACTCAGATCGTGTACTTGAGTAAAAGTAGAAGTACCAGAGTGTAGGAATACTCTGTTACAGTAAAAGTCCTGCATTCAAAATGTTCCTCAAGTAAAAGTAGAAAAGTAGTATCATCAAAATATAGTGAAAGTAGCGACAGTAAAAGTAGTCATTGTGCAGATTGGTCCATTTCAGAATAATAGATATGATATGTTTTATAATGATTGATCATGAAAGTGTTCTCAAAGCTGGTAAAGGTGCAGCTAGTTTGAATGACTTTGTATACTGCAGGGTAGCTTGTGGATTTACTCCAGGTGGAACTAAAGTCTGATTTAACACTTGGTTATATTTCACATCATTCATCCACATCTGTGAAGTAACTAAAGGTATTAAATACATGTATTGGAGGAAAAGTACAAAGTAGCATAACATGGAAATACTCAAGTAAAGTATTTGAGTAAATGTACTTAGTTACCTCTGGAAGAATGTGTGCGGGCGATGAAGCATGGATGTTGAGTTTCCCTCGGTGTCCTTCTCTGGATCTTCATTAGCATACAAAAGGCTTCAGAGTGTTTGACATGAGGAAGCATCGGAGCTAACGAGTGTCAAACGGACGGATATTAGACGAGAAGCTTGATCAGAAATACATAAGATTTAAAAATGCTCAAAGGGTTGATTGTCATGCACCATATCTGCAGCAATCTGAAGTCCCAGGCTCTTCAACATGCACTAATTAAGTGAATAAAGAAACACAATAGTGCCTTAAAATAGTGCAAATTAAATAATAATACAAGTTAAATTCAATGATAAGCAGAATAAAAGCTTTTCTCTGTCTCTTGGAATCACTTTCTGTTATTTATACATGTTTTATGTCATAAAATAACAAAAAGCAGACGTATATTAAAGATTACACAGGTAAAGAAATGTTTGCAGACTAGTTTAAGAGACACAGAGGTGCAAGTAAACTGCAGGAATAAGTACAAATACATTAAAAAGATCAAACTGAATGTGAAATTAAAAACTGTAGAGTATAATAAATACACAATACTGTAATAATATATATAAATATGTAGATTTTACGATCACAATTCTTTATTTATCCGGGTTAGTTGCTCCTTTTTTAGAATAAAAACCTTAACATAAGAAGTAAAAGTAAGAATATGCAATAGTATTAAATAAATATATTTATATAAGCATCATTTTATGGAAAGAGATGTGTGTGTTATGAATATTTTTCATTTAATTGTGTATTTGAACCGGGACAGTGCACATTAATGAACATTTTAAACAAAATAATGTTTTTAAATGTAAATTAGCCGGATTTTAGCTTTGAGCTAGTTTCCATCCGTAGTCCCGTCACATACAACATTTATGAACATAACATTTATATACATGGCAAACAGAAATACATGATATATAAATAGTGCATTAAACACATTTGACTTCAGTTCATTACAATAAGTAGGTTTCTGTGTCACCGACCCTGCACACGATGACGTGAGATGAGCGAATCAATGAATCAATGAATCGACGTCTGAATCCAAACAGCTGAGTTTAATTGGAGGGAGAATGAGATCAGACGCATCAGAGAGACTTTACGGGGAATCAGTGACGAGAACAGAGAGAGGGACAGAGAGAGGAGAGGAGGACACATATCACTGTAACACTGCAGAGAGTATCAGCTGTCAAACTGAGGATGGTTTTTATTCACATTTTTAGTTTGATCAATATGTTATTTATTATCTGAGGAATACGTATTGGTGTATGTAGAGTGTCAGAAAAAGGTGATGAAAAGTGATATTATAGTATGTAAAAAAACGTCATGGAATTGTATGTCGAAACAAAAATACTATTATATCAGAAAATACCAAAATATATGAAAATAAGTCATAGTGTAAAAATATCAGAAAAAACTTCATGGTACAGTTTGTAAAAAAAATGTCAAAGTATAATGTTTCGAAAACATCAAAGAAAATATCAGAGTACAGTATTACCAAACATTTCTAAAAATAAGAGAACATGAAAAGAAAAAATGAGTTTATCCCAAAAATATATATAGTTCTGGTAAAGCATCTCCAAAATATCAGAACAGTACCGTGTGTTTTCAATGTGATTACCTCCAGAGAAAGGAGCTGCACAGTGTGTGTGTTCAGTGTGTGTTCAGTGTGTGTGTGTTCAGTGTGTGTTCAGAGTGTGTGTGTTCAGAGTGTGTTCAGTGTGTGTTCAGAGTGTGTGTGTTCAGAGTGTGTGTGTTCAGTGTGTGTTCAGTGTGTGTTCAGTGTGTGTTCAGAGTGTGTGTGTTCAGTGTGTGTTCAGTGTGTCTTCAGTGTGTGTTCAGAGTGTGTTCAGTGTGTGTGTGTTCAGAGTGTGTGTGTTCAGTGTGTCTTCAGAGTGTGTGTGTTCAGTATGTGTTCAGTGTGTGTTCAGTGTGTATTCAGTGTGTGTGTGTTCAGTGTGTGTTCAGTGTGTGTGTGTTCAGTGTGTGTTCAGTGTGTGTTCAGTGTGTGTTCAGTATGTGTTCAGTGTGTGTTCAGTATGTGTTCAGTGTGTGTTCAGTGTGTGTTCAGTGTGTGTGTGTTCAGTGTGTGTTCAGTGTGTGTTCAGTGTGTGTTCAGTGTGTGTGTGTTCAGTGTGTTGTTCAGTGTGTGTTCAGTGTGTGTTCAGAGTTTGTGTGTTCAGTGTGTGTTCAGTGTGTGTTCAGTGTGTGTTCAGTGTGTGTTCAGTATGTGTTTAATGTGTGTGTTCAGTGTGTGTTCAGTGTGTTGTTCAGTGTGTGTGTGTTCAGTGTGTGTTCAATGTGTTGTTCAGTGTGTGTTCAGTGTGTGTTCAGAGTGTGTGTGTTCAGTGTGTGTTCAGTGTGTATGTTCAGTGTGTGTTCAGTGTGTGTTCAGTGTGTGTTCAGTGTGTATGTTCAGTGTGTGTTCGCAGGGCTGGACTGGGACAGCAAATCGGCCCTGGCATTTAGACCCAGACCGGCCCAAATCCATAAAACAAACAAATAGTAGCGGTTCCTGACAAGAAGAATAACTCAGTATAATTTTAAAAAAACGCTATTATTATCCTTTTTACGTACCAGGAGCAAACAAAACTAATACATACCACAAGTATGTGTAACTATCAATCATTAGAAATTAGACCTTCAAACCCTCTCACAAAGCGAACAGTGACGAGCACTAATAGGGGGGTCTGGGGGGGTATGCCCCCCACAGAAGAAAAGTTTTAAAAATAACCCCTTAAATGATGACTTCTAGTGAATTTAGGGGGGGGGGGACCCTATAGTGCCCTGCCTCCCCTTTCTATGACAACACAATAGAGATAGGACCAGATGAGTCTACAGGATGAGTCCACGGCATCTTTTTATATACATTGACGCTTTCATTTAATTTTTCCATCCTTTTTTTAATCGCTGTAATTGTATTGCCTTTTTCATCTGTACACACGACACCTATTGCACGTCCGTCCATCCTGGGAGAGGGATCCCTCTTCTGTTGCTCTCACAGAGGTTTCTTCCTACTTCCCACTGTTAATTGTGGGGTCTGTTTTGGGGAGTTTTTCCTTGAGCGCTGCAAGGGTCTAAGGACAGAGGATGTCGTACCTGTACACACTGTGAAGCCCTCTGAGACTAATTGTAATTTGTGATATTGGGCTATATAAATAAAATGTGATTGATTGATTGACGCACGCAAGGGGCTATAGTGCAAGTCTTAGGCGGCTGGTTTCTCAGAACCTCACAGAGCACACAGAACTGAAGGAACACAGGTTTAACCAAAAATACTATCCACTGTCTTTATTTTTTTTCCTGAGAATAGGTTTGAAAGAGACAGATTTAAATTTACAAAGAGAGTTGAAGCAACATTTGACAGAAATCCCACATAAATTACAAAAGTACACAACTAGCAAGATATATATACTGTATATATATACTGTACACACAAAGTAACTTATATACTAGACTGAAATAACTAAAATGAATGCTTGTTGTGGAGAGGGGCACTATGTCCAGCGTCCATTCCTCGGGGTAGGAGTTAGTGTGTGAGTGTGTGAGTGTGTGTGTGTGTGTGTGTGTGTGTGTGTGTGTGTGTGTGTGTGTGTGTGTGTCTGTTTGCATGTGTGAGTGTAGTTGGGGGGCTTTGGGAGAGTCAAAAAGGATGCAGGTGACCTCTTTGGTACCTGATAGAGGTCCATACAAATAGGCATTGACATAACAATACCACACAGTTAATGGTCAAAACTACATGTGTGCCTCAATTTTTTTTTCTATTTCTATATTATTCATTCTATATATTGTCAATCAAAACTACCACAAAAAGCTGACTATAAACATTTTTTTCAGGTCCCAAAAGACCACTGTTGTCCTTATAACCACATAAGTAAATAAACTAAACAAAACAAGCTGCCAGCTGACAGTAATTGTTCATGAATGGTGGTTAACAAAATAATGACATTCTTTCAATGAGACAACGTATCAGAGTCCCATTAAGCTATATTTTAACTTGCCAGGGAAAACCTAAAAAAGCCAGCTTACTAGCTTGTAGGCTAACGAATGTTTCTCTTATAATATTTGTCTTATTAGTGCTTCATCAAGGGGATATTAATGGGTTCCAGAACTACAGACTATCATAACCTTAATAATAATCTTTTCCTAATTTTCTTAGCTTCTGCTTACCGCGAGTTCTCCTCCCTCTCCCCACTCGCGCTGATCTCTCTCCCTCTCATCGTCTTCCTCACCACCAATATCGGCCACGGGTGCTGAAGATGGACCTGCACCTGTACTAAACATGTCGGTTATTTTGACACAAGCGGCAGCATCAGCACGAAGGGCCTGCTTTTTTCTTGCCCGCAATTTTTCTGCTCCCCCTTTTCGCTTGGCCTTCTTCTTCGCCTTCGCCTTCTCCATTTCTAACTCGAACTTTTTTTTTTTCGAAAAAAAAGGCGGTTAGGCTTCAACGGCCGGCTCACCTCCTGGGGGCGTGATTTAATGATGCACACCGAGCGGCCCAAAGGGGGAGGTGATTAAAGATTTGATTGGGCCGGCCCAGTGTCAATTACTAAAAACATTTAAACAGAGGGCCAATCTACCCGTCTTATGGGCCGGGACTTCAGAAAAAAAAAAAAATGACGTGTCGGCCCAAAAGGCACGTCGGCCCACCGGGAAAATGCCCGGTATGCCAGATGGCCAGTCCAGCCCTCCCTCCGTCCTACTTTAGTCCAGTTTTCTCTCCAGATTGGGTCATCTTGTGTTGGTGCCAGACACATCGTGCAGAGAACTCACTGATCCTGGAACAGGAAGAAACAGGCTCTAAATGTCAGCGTTTACACGAGCTGCACATTTTTAACCCAGTCTGAACTCGAGGGTAAAACTTCTAGAATCTGCTGCTGCTGAAAACCGTTTAATTTAACATTAAATCAACTAAGTCTCTCATGTCTGATGTTATAACCACCTTTATTTTGGTTAAAAAAATCTTAATTCAATTCTACATTATGTCGAAATCTATATAGAACATTTTTTTTAAAGCTAAATAACATGGAAGGAGCCAAATATTTAAAAAAATGAAATACAAATGTTTTATATGATATAACAACATATTTTAAATAAAAAAACATATTTTAAATCCATAAAAAAAACGATTAAAAAAACAGGAGAAAACTATATTTTTTAGAATAATAAATATAATTATTTTAAAAAGTCAGGATAGCAACAGGCAGTACAAAAACTAAGAAATATTTAAAATGTTGTGGGTCCATGCTCAGTATTTTGTGTTCCAACGTTTATTTACCAAAATCAGAAATCAGGTCAAGTTTCTGTCCATAGTTAAATAATGAAAAAGCTTCCTTTACCTCTGAGCTCTGCATCAGATTTCATTATTCGATCCTCTGGCGCCCTCTAGTGTCTGCTGAGTGAACAGCACATTTATAAATAAAGTACAGTAAATACAAGCTTAAACATTTCAGTTCAGTTATCTCACAGATCAATGCAGCCTAAGCACTTTATTTTATTTTATTTTATACACACACGTGCACACACACACATGCGCGCACACACACACACACACACACACACACACACACACACACACACACACACACACACACACACACACACACACACACACACACACACACACACACACAGCAGCAATGTTCCGAGGATGTCATATCTGCATAATGGGAAGTTATTATTTTCTACTGATTACACACTGATCTAACTGATCAGGCAGGTAGGCCATCCAGTTATTTTAGCCGGGCTGGCTACAATGATTGGTCGTGCTTTTTACAGTACTACGGCTTCCACAGATGAAATTATTTTATGGATTTTTTTTCAAAGCCCTTAAGATATTCATTGCTATCGGGATGTTAAGAGCATTCCATGGAATATAACAAAAAGTGTATCTCGAGTCGGTTTCTCAAATGTACCTACCCCACCTTTAAATATTATATTTATTATTCAAAAATATAATATAATCCCAGAGTACATCAACGCCAATTATAAACCAAGAAAACCCCCACGAAACAACCAAGACAATGGGGGCCTACCAGAACCGGCGGCTGAGTCTCAAGAGGATGATAGAAATCCTTCGTTTGTTGAGATAATGTCCGAGTTAAAATCTCAACGCTCTGAGATACTTAATCGTCTCGATGGAATTGATAATCGTTTGGAGATTGTGACTAGTCAAGTTTCAACAATGAAAGAAGCACTAGCTACAACAAACCAGGCCCTTGAGAATCAACTTCAGCGTATGGATGAAGCTGAACAAAGAATTTCGACATTAGAAGACACCTTACAAACTACGGCACGGGATCTTCACCGAGCCGAAAAGTTGATAAAGACGCTGGAATCTAAGACGGATGATCTCGAAAATAGAGGGAGACGTAAAAACCTTGTTCTACTAGGGCTCCCAGAGAAGTCAGAAGGCAGCCAACTACTACTTCAATACATTCAACAAAAATGACCTTGCTGGCTCAAACTCTCCCTCGATCAGAATCTAGAGTTGGAGCGGGTTCACCGCTCTCTACGACCATATCCCGAGCCAGGGAAGCCTCCAAGACCAATTATGATCCGCTTTCTACGAGTCAGAGATAAAGAAATGATACTGCAATCTGCGAAGAAAATGTCAATCCACGAGGGTAATACTAAACTCACCATTCGCCAGGATCTGTCTGCAGAGGTACGCCGAAAGCGCAAGGAGTTTGACCTGGTGATCAAATTATTCCTCGAAAAAGGCATGTTCAGAGGATTTGCATATCCTCATCGGCTCCGTAGTCTTCATAAAGAGAAGATTGTTTATTTTGAAGATCCCAAAGAAGCCGACACTTTTGTCAAGCAGCTGCAGTAAGTCGCTATTTTTCTAACCTACCGGAGTGGAGGTAAGATGTACATTCTTCTTTTCTTTTTTCTTTTTTCTCCTCTTCTTATCATTCCCATGTTGCAACGGTTATAACAGCGGTTTTCAAAGTGTGAGGCGCGCCTCCCCTGGGGGGCGCCAGAGAGCTTCAGGGGAGGCGCAGCGTGAGAAAAAAAATAACGAGAAAAGATGAGAAAAGTGACACTTGCCCACTTTTGGCTGTCTGTGGAGACCGAGTTCCCCCACTTCGCCAAAAAGGCTGTAAAAGTGCTCATTCCCTTCATCTCCACCTACCTGTGTGAGTGCGGGTTTTCCGCATGGACTTTGATCAAAATCAAGTGCAGAGTATGATCTGCGTTTATTCCTGTGTGCATCAAAGACGCAGACTCATTGTTCCCACTAAAGTAGGGATGAGTGTAATAAGGAGGCAAAATTGACGTTCAGTGTGTTGCCGGGAACATATAAGGATTTATCCACGATGTTGAAAATGTTAAAAATGTTTTAAAAATATGTGTTGAGAACACGGCGTGCGAAAATATACGGGTCGTGCTGCAGCTAGATTTGCCTGTCCTCTGTAAGAAGGTGTCGGCGACTGACATGCAAGGAAGAACGGCTGTCCACAGGCTGTTACAACTTTAACAACTTTATTAACTTCCAGGGTAGTGAATTGAACATGCTATTGTAATTGGGTGTGTGGTATATTTTCATGCACGGACACGCATGTTCCACAACACACAAACTGAACAACACTCAATTGTCCGATCGCTACCAGTGTCCTTGCGATCTTGTTATAACGATAACAACAAAGTGCACGTTATTACTGATGCAATATGGTTGAGACCATTTGGGCTTATTCTAGAGGGGTGCAAGGAATAGTCCAAGTAGTGGGGGAGTTGTATACAATATGTTTAAAACATAAAGATAAAAAGGTTTAAAAAAGTTATTGTTTAATGTTTTAAGGAGGTGACGCTACTCAGCCAATCAAATCGGTGCAGTCAGTGAGCCAGCACGATAGATTCAAACACACACACAGAGACGAGACAAGAGGAGAGAAACAGTCTTCATTTTATCTTACTGGACCTCTTTGAAATGCAATTGAATACCCCTGCATTATAGCAACAACAACAATGATAATAATAATAATAGCAATAATAATTGGGAGGGGGGGGGCGCGGCTGATCTTATGTTCTCTGAGGGGAGGCTCACCTTCCCACACTTTGAAAACCCCTGGGTTATAAATCATAATCGAACTCCAAATTAACTGTCATCGGGATTGGGGAAACGTGTGGAAATCGTTTTTCGCAAGGACACATTAAGAGGATTTTCCTGTTTAAAGGATCGAACTGGTTCATTTGTATTTTGTTATATTTACCAGTGCCTTTGCTTCCGGCAACAAAGAATGACGTAACGGACCACACCAACAAAGAAGGTAGTGGAGGGGGTCTAACAAAACAATAACATACTGTTCTGTTTAAAATACAATCTTCCTCCACTTTTATTTGACGGTTAAGATATCACCATGTACTCCTCCGATCGTTCTTTTTTGATTTGTCTTGTTTTTTATGGCAATTTATTATTTGACATGTAAATAATCGGATGGAACATACCATGATGAAATTTGGGATGCGGACGGGTTTTCAATATGAGGGAAAGTTGTTTCCATTATTTTTTTCTATCTACCCGTCCTCTGTTTAGGAGGAAAATTATGAAGAAATGTATTTATTTTCAATGAGAACTGAGGAAGGGAGCTCCAAGTTGCCAACACAAAGAGGACATTTCGTTAGTTCTGAGATGAACATTTTTCTGACGTTTGTTTCTCTCTGGGCTACAACAAATTGGGTAGATGAACTGCCAGGGTCGGAAGACCCTGGTTTGGGTGGGATGTTATATTGTTTTCTTTTTGTGTTTTACGTTTTTGTTACATTAGTTTTAATGGTAAATAATAAAAGCAGTGACAATCCCTTTTGTGTATGGGGCCAAAATATACAATGTATTAAATATAATCCCACAGATATGCAGCAGTCACCATGCAAAATATGAAAATATATTCTTGGAATATTAAAGGCTTGGGAAATCCCATAAAAAGGAATAAAGTACTATCTCTTCTTAAAAAAGACAAAGCTGATGTGGTCTTCTTACAAGAAACCTTTCTCTCAGATACTGAACACCTTAAATTGAAAAGAGATTGGATAGGTCAGGTGTATTTTTCATCATATAAAACCCATAGTAGAGGGACAGCTATTGTGATAAACAAAACTTGCCCATTCGAATTAGAAAAATTAGTTACAGACCCAAATGGTCGGTTTGTTTTGGTTGTCGGTACTATTTTTGGAACCCCAATTACCTTTTTAAATATCTATGCTCCCAACATAGATGAACCAATGTTCATGTCTGACATGGTGCTGCTCTTCAATGAAAATTGTAAAGGATTAGGACTGATGGGCGGCGATTTCAACTGCACTCTTAACCCTACATTAGATAAATCTAACCAGTCCAAGAGCCACAATCTTAAATCCTCAAAGGTCCTTCAGGGGCTATGTGCAGAATGTGGCCTTATTGATGTATGGCGTCAACTAAATCAGGATGTCAAAGATTACACTTTCTTTTCAAATGTCCACAACTCTTATTCTAGAATAGATTATTTTTTTATTCCCTCAAAATACATGCATAGGGTAAAAGAATGTAAAATTGATTCCATTAATATTTCGGATCATGCAAGAGTTCATGTAACTATTCACTTGGAGAGTGGAGAATTTGTATCCAGGCGCTGGAAATTTGATAACTCCTTACTTAGAGACGAAAAATTCAAATTAAAAATGCGAATGTGGATAAGGTACTATATAAAAGAAAACAATGACCCCTCTATAGATCCGAATATTATTTGGGAAGCTGCAAAAGCTACTTTAAGAGGACTTATTATCTCATACACATCCTTTAAAAAACGTGAAAAAATTAGGCTCAGACAAGAACTTGAAAGAGAAGTAAACAGATGTGAAGCACTTCATAAATACGCATCAACAGATGAAAACTGGAAACAATTAAACACAGCCAGAGCTAAATTAAATATTGACTTAACAAATGAAAATATAACACAAATGAATCTTATCAGACAAAAGAATTATGAATTCGGCAATAAACCAAGTAAACTACTTGCCTATCAATTAAAGAAGGAGCAGGCAGAAAGGGCTATAAAAGCAATTCGTCTGAAAGACAACGAAATAAGCTACCACCCAAAACAGATTAACCAGACTTTCTATGAATTTTATAACAAATTATACAAATCTCAATCTGATTACTCACAAGATGAACTGGACAATTATCTCCATAACATTAATTTACCTACGTTATCTGATTTAGATCAAGAGTATCTAAACTCATCAATTACAGAAGTAGAAGTTCTGGCTGCAATTAAATCTATGCCTATAAATAAAAGCCCAGGGCCAGATGGCTTCTCGGCAGAATTTTATAAAGAGTTTTGGACTGAACTTCAACCTATATTTATGTCAATGGTTACCAACTTCTCTCACAACAAAACACTTCCTCAAACAATGAATCTTGCATATATTACTGTACTACATAAAGATGGAAAAGACCCCTTGAATTGTTCTTCATTTAGGCCTATAAGCCTCTTGGATCATGATTATAAGATTATCACCAAATTATTAGCAAAACGACTGGAAATTATTTTACCTAAACTAATTAGTCCTGATCAAACAGGTTTTGTCAAGGGCAGATATTCTTCTGATAATATAAGGAGACTTTTGAATATTATAAACCATTTGGACACCTGTCAGAGGCCTTCTCTGCTTCTTTCTTTAGATGCCGAGAAGGCGTTTGACAGGGTAGAGTGGAATTTTCTTTTTGCTATCTTGAACAGATTGAATATGGGCTCTCGGTTCATAGAGTGGGTCAAATCAATTTATAAAAACCCTAAAGCAGCGGTTATCACTAACTGCAGTTCCTCAGATTTTTTTCCACTAACAAGGGGGACAAGACAGGGATGTCCACTGTCGCCTTTGCTTTTTGCTATTGTAATTGAACCACTGGCGTCATGTGTGCGAGACAACATGGGTATTAAAGGAGTGAAGATTAACGATGAACACAACATTTCTCTGTATGCTGACAATATCATTCTTTACTTAACAGACCCAGAAAATTCAGTACCACATCTGCACAACACGATAGAGCAATTTGGAAGATACTCAGGATATAAAATTAATTTTAAGAAATCTAATGCTTGTTTCTTACATATGACGCCAACAGCAAATCTGGAAAAGTCTTGTTCTTTTAATTTGTCACCAGGTGGCTTTAAATACTTAGGAATAAATATAACACCACACCTGGATAATCTGTTTAAAGAGAATTACAATCCGCTCATTGACAAAATCAAACAGGATTTATCTAAATGGTCCACATTGCCAATATCACTGCTAGGAAGAATCAATGTCATAAAAATGAATATTCTACCGAGATGTAATTTTCTTTTTCAAATGTTACCATGCTATTTATCCGCTGACTATTTTAAATCTCTCAATAGACATATCTCAACATTTATCTGGTGTAATAAAAAACCAAGAATCAAGTTAATGACTCTTATGAAACCAGAAACTATGGGGGGACTTGGTCTTCCTAACTTTCAACACTACTTCTGGTCAGCTCAATTAAGAAATGTGCTATCATGGTCTCTGGGAAGAAAGGATTCACTATGGGTTCAGATAGAAGCCAATGTCTTTGACCCGTTGCCAGTGGAAACTCTTATATTTGTTAAAGATTTCAATAAGGTGAAGAATATGGACAAATGTTTTACAGTGGTCAATACACTTTTAGCCTGGAGGGACTGTACAAAAAAAGCTCATGTTAACTCTGGTATTTCCATCTTTTCTCCTATTTTGAACAATCCGGATCTTAGCAAATATTTGTTGTCAATCGATATAAACAAATGGACGAAATCAGGTATAAAGCAATTGAAACATTTGTTTCACAAAGATATAACAATGAAATCATTTAATGATTTAAGAGCAGAATATGACATTTCAAATAAGGATTTTTTCAGATACCTGCAAATTAGGAACGTGATCCAATCAATTATT